GTTTATGCTATAACAAATAAAGCTTGCCTGAAGATCAGAGTGCAGAGTTAGTACCACTAGTTAGCCACAGAGGCCAGGCAGTGGTGGCACACACCTTTAATCCCAGTAGCCACACTAGTTATCCATAGAGTCCAGTCAGTGGTGGTACACACCTTTAATCCCATCACTCAGGAGACAGAGACAGACAAATCTCTGTGAGTTCAAGACCACCTTGGGCTTCACGAGATTGAATCTGTTCAAAACAGAAACAGAGCTCATACAAAGGTGATCCCTGCATTTGGGATCCCATGCCTTTAATCCCAGCCAAATCACTTCTGTCTCCAATTGGCTGGGCAGAGAGAGGACTATAAGACAGGAGGAGACAATCTGAGGTTTTGTAGAGTTGGATGCAGTCTAGGCAGTCAGTCTGAGGAGGCAGCCTGAGGACAGGATCGCCCCTTCGGTCTGAGCATTGGTAGAGGTGAGAGCTAGTGGCTGGCCTCTTTGCTTCTCTGATCTTCAGCTTTAACCCCAGTGTCTGTCTCTGAGTTTTTATTACTAATACCAACTAGAATTCATGCTCCAGTCAGTGCACCCACAGAGGAGTGGTTGATGAGAGGGATGGGGGGGACTTAGGAGGGTATCTTATTTAGGGTTTCTATAGAAAAATGCCATGACCAAGGGTAGCCTGGAGAGGAAAGGGTTTATGTCACTCACAACTCTCAGGTCATACCATAACTGAGGGAAGTCAGGGTGGGAACTCAAGGTAGGAACTTGGAGGCAGGAACTGATTCAGAGGCCATAGAGGGATGCTGCTTACTGGCTTGCTCCCCTTGGCTTGTTCAGCCTACTTTCTTATAAAACACAGGACAACCAGTCAAGGGGTGTCACTGTCCATAGTGGACTGGTCACTCCCACACCCATCATTAATCAAGAAAAACCTTACATAATTGCCCATAAGCCAATCTAGTGGGGACATTTTCTAAATTGAGGTTCCCTCTTCTCAAACGAACCTCGCGTGTGTCAAGCTGACAAAGAATGAACCGAGACAATGTCCTCTGTTCTCTTGCGGGTCCTACCTCCAAGATTCATGTGACTTGGTAGGTAGTTAGGGTAGGAGGCTGAGGTTCTTCCAGTGGGTTTCATGTGATAAAGAGGGGTGAATCTTTAGATGCAAGCCAAGAAACACTAGTAAATTCTGTAGGCATTCACAGCCTCTCTAGTGTGGAGATCCCACGGGAGGATTCGTTACAGGGTCGATGGCAGGATTTCTTGCTTGAGAACTATCTATCATCTACCTACCTACCTACCTATCTACCTACCTATCTATCTATCTATCTATCTATCTATCTATCTATCTATCTATCTATCTATCTACCTATCATCTGTCTGTCTAGTGCATGCTATGTGTCATTTGTTTTTGAAAACACTCATTGTTTTACTCAAAGACAAAGGCCAAAGGCTGGTTTTCAGTCTGTTTCTGAGGTGGCTTTAGGCTTCTGTGATAGGGTCCAGGAGATTGGGAGAGATAAAGGAGGGACTGTTGCTCCATCTCTCTCCAGGAACAAGCAGTAGTTTTTCTAGTCTGTCTCATGCAGTGGTAGGTTGGCATTTTGTTTTTAATCAGTTCTGTTGTTTGAAAATGTTTAAAAGCTATCACTTTAGGGAATTGGTGTTGATTGTACATAGAAAAACAATAAACTCTTCCTGAAGAAATGCCTTGGATTATTCAAATCTCCAAGGAGTGAAATGCGTCACTTCTTTTCTGTGTCCCACTGAGTCACAAGTAGGCCTTTTGGGAATACTTAGTAGTCTTTAAAAAATGTGTCTCTGCAATGTAAAAGGGTTTTATGTTTTAAGTATTTTATGTATAAATATATTTTACTTTTGAATGTTTTTATAACCTTGATTTCATAGCCTGTAGGCATGTAGCTCACAACCTAAGGCGTAAAATCGTAGCTATGACTAGAGACATGAGTAGATTTCAGTTGATCCTGTTTAATAAAATTGATAGTCCTGTCTTTAAAAATGAATATGAACCAGGTATAATAGTGCACACCTTTAATTTCAGTACTTGGAGGGCACAGGCAGGTGGATCTCTGTGAGTTTGAATCCAGTCTGGTCTACATAGAGTTCCAGGATAGCCAAAGCTACATGGAGAGACCCTGTCTTAAAAAATAAACAAATAAAAACAAGCCACAAGTATGTCTAAGATACCCAGGAGTACATTAAACATTTGTCCCATAAAGGCAGTGAAATGGCTCAGTAGTTAGAGGCACTTCCAGTACAAGTCTTACAACAGGAGTTGGTTTCTAGCATATACAGTTCAATTCCTGAAACTTACTTTGGAAGGAGAGAACCAACTCTTTCAAAATGTCCTCTGGCCTCTAGACATGCACCATGGGACACACATGACCATATTCATATACACACATCACATGTACACGTACACACATATACACTAATAATAGTAATAATAATTTTAACTTGCCCTATATAAGGTTTCCTTCTTGAAAGTGATACTAGGCAAGGGCATAAGAAAGTGAGCAGTGGTTAGATTTGAAGAATAGCATTGGTTCTTCCCAGTAGCATCCTCCAACTGAATTCTTAAATTTTTACTTATTTCTTCACTTAGTTTTGACACATGATCTCACTATATATAGCCCAGGCTCACTTTGAACTAAAGATGCTACTGTCTCTGCCTCCGGAGTTCTGGGATTACATATGTGTGCTACAATGCCTGGCTTTAGTTGACTCTGAAGGGTAATTGACGTTTGAGGTCTGCAGTGGTTCTGAGTTGTACCAGTTCCCCTGTTGCCCTACTCAGGATGCATTTACTGGTTGCATTCAGATGAGAAAACACACTTGAGGGGAAATTGGTGGAACTTCGAGACCAAGTGATCATTATCTAGCCATATACTGGAAAGAGGTGACATCATTCATTTTTTCTCTTAAATGATCCTAAAGGGAGGTCAGACATCTCAAAGTCTCAAGCTTGACATGTGCATTAATTTGATTTTAGTTTGCTTTTGGATGATAACTCCTTAATTATTAGTAGAATGAGAACACTGAGTCTTGAACTTTATTGGACCTTTGCCTGTGAATAGCATACCTTTTATATTGGAAACTAATCATTGGTTAGTTTCCTCTTTAACTTATCTCAAACCAAGTTATCTATTGTTACTCAGTTTATTGGGGTTAGTCACTGTTGACTCTTTCTAGTTGATGAGCAAAGATGTCATTGACTTTCCCATTTTAATCACCTCCATTCTTCTTTCATTCTTATTTTAGTGTCCTTGTATTTATATATAAGTCATGAAGTTCATCCTGATGTGTATGGTGATGGTCCTAAAAGATATTAATGTAGTTGAAAACCTCCATCCCACAGTGACATCTATAGCTGTCATAATATTGTAACTTAGCACATTATCCATGTTTGCATGACACTGGAATAAACAAACATATATAGTATCATCAGTCATAAACAGCATATACAGTGAATAATGACTGGTTAAATGATAATAAGAAACTATGTTAATGGCTTATATATTTGTTCCACTATACCTTTTCTTAGTATTTTAGTGTGTACTTCTGGCATGTAAAACTATTTTTTTTTTGCAAAGCAGTCTACGGGATTAGTAACAGCCTCACAATTGCTGTATTTACTGTGTTTCTTGATTGCATTGTTCTTCTTATGCTTGGTGCACTGTGTTCATTCATCTGTTGATGTGTGCTTAGCTTTATTTCCCTTCTGGCTGTCATGAGTAATGCTTCTGTGAATAATATTGATAATGCAAAGACATAGAAATACCTCTTTAAGACCCTGATTTCAGATCTCTTTGGAACACATACCCAGTAGTGGATTTGCTGGACCACATGATAATTTCCTTCTAGTGTTTCTGATGATGGAACCCAGACCCATACACATCCCAGACAAGTGCTGTGCCACTAAGCTACATCCCAACCTTTTTTTTTTTGAGAGACACCCTATTTGTATTTTCTGAGCCAGTTGAATTAACTGTGGTGATTGTAGTGATGTGCTATATTAGCTACTTCTGTTGCTGATAAAATACCTTCAATCAGAATCAACTTAAGGAAGAAAGAGTTTATTTTGGCCGATGCTTCCAGAGGTTAGAGTCCATAATGGCGAGGGATGGCATGGCTGCAGGTAGCCAGGGCAGGAAGCTGGCTGCTCCCATTTCCTTAATACCCCAGGAAACATAGAGATAGAGACAACTAGAAGGGGAGAGGTGTAAGGCTATAAACTCTCAAAGCCCATACTTTCTCCAGCAAGGCCCCGTCTCATAACTTCCCCAAATAGGGCCACCACCGGGGGACCAGGTGCTCAGATGCATAAGTCTATGGGGGACATTTCTCATTCAAATCACTACATGTACCTCCCAGAAAGCATGTTTGTTTATAGCACTAATTTTCTATTTTCTCTGCCAGCTTTACTAGGCATAATTAATGATACACAATGTGATATTTTAAGATGGTATACATACACACAAAATGAGTAAATCAAGATCATTAATGCAATCATCACCTCTCATGCTTATTTCTGTTTTCCTGATGAGAATCATTTAAAATATGCTCTCAGCAATTGCCAAGTACACAATGCCATTATTATTATTATTATTGCTAGTATTATTATTATCTAGAGTCACTGTGCTGCCTATTGTTCTCCGAAACTTACTCATCCTGTCTGCCTGGAACTGTGCACTTGACCAACATCTCATCCCTTCTCCTTGATGTCTAGTGTTTATTTAACTCCCACAGCTAGTTTACATGATAGGAATCAGGACAATGAAGTGAGGTCAGCTTAAATTTCAGGGCGTGGAGAAGACCTTGCGAAGATCAGCCCCACTCCATCCACGGTTCTCGGAAATGCATCAACTGTAATTTTAGAATTCACCGAGGGTGAGGAGTGAGGATTTGCTCAGCCAGACCCCCAAATACATGTGTTTAATGTTAGCTGTATGAATGACGATGACGTTTCTTACTTTGGGTTTTTTCTATAGGGATAGAGGAAGTGAAGACAGACTGATGGACTCCATCGACGGGCTCCACTATCTGACCATGACTGCTGAAAATCCAACTTCCGGAGACCTGACTCCTGTCCCCATTGTTACTTGCAAGCTCTGCCTGTGCGAGCAACCTTTGGATAAGGTGACCATGCTCCAAGAATGCCAGTGCATCTTCTGTACATCTGTAAGTTTTCCTTAATGTTTGTACCATGGAGAAGTCCATGAAGAATTATGGGGAAAATTATGAAAGCTACAGGATACATTTCTGTGGCATATTGAATTTGCTACAGTCTGACCCTGCTGTGGAAAACAAACACATTTGGTTCACTTTGCAGGAACAGTGAACAGATTAGTGGTTTTCATTAAGTAAATAATGTGTATAATGAATTATATTTATTTATTTATTTAGGTTTTACATTATGTGGTGAAGGCAGAGTTTGGCATGGCACCAGGGTCTAAAACATGCTAGGGAAGTGTGTACATATGTAGCTCCAGCTTGCTTTTAACTTGCTGTGTAGCCCAGGCTGGACTTGAACTCACAATTTTCCTGCTCAGCCTCCTAAATTCTGGGATTATAGGTGTGTCCCACCACATCCAGAGAAATATAGTTACTGGGTAAGTAGAATCTTTCTATTCTGATGATTCTAAGTCAGGAACAAAACAAAACTTTCATCATGTTCTAGTTAACCATCACCTCTAGCTCATCTGGTGTTGTGAATGATGAAAAAATAAGATAATAATGATTATTCTTTCATATTTTCTATTCTTCTACTTCTAAGATGTGCTGAGTAATTCTTCCTCTGCACTAGTAAACAGCACCAACAATGACACAGGTGTTCAGGGATGAACTTGCCTCTTTGAATGATGTCTGGTATCAGTTCCTGTTACCTAAGTCACTGGTTTCCTCGAAGGTTGCTCAGTTAATGTATCAAGATGGGATCCAGAAGGAAGGGATCTTATAGGACTGAAAGACATTAAAGAATGGCACCATTTATTTATCCAACAGGCAGCTGTCAGGCAACACATGTGTCCTGGGAACTGTTCTTGGTACTGGGAATTCTCAGTCATAGAAACGAAACCCAGAAAAAAAAATCTCTGGTCCTAGGAGCTTATAATTCAGAGGTTCTCAACCTGTGGGTCATGACCCCTTTGGGGGTCAAATGACCCTTTCACAAGTGTCACATATCAGATATCCTGCTTGTCAGATATTTACATTATAATTCGTAACAGTAGCAAAATTACAGTTATGAAGTAGCAATGAAAATAATTGCATGGTTGAGGGTCACCACGACATGAGGAACGTTATTAAAGGGTTGCAACATTAGGAAAGTTGAGAATCACTGTTATAATCCATCGAACAGGGTTGCGTAGTAAACAGGAGAGTTACAGAAGACTGTGAGACAGGACTTGGGAGGAAAGCAGAGTCCAATAAAGGTGGGTGGGGTGGGTCTAGGGAAGACACTGAGCTTTGGGGGTTAGGAGCCACACTGATCTTACTTCTACATCTTGCCAGTATGTGTTGCTTTAAGGAAAGGGAGGAAGATGTGTCCCCATCCCAGGGTGACCATTTTCCTTTGTTCTTGCTTGGATTCTGAACCCGTCTGTCAGAAGCAATGACTTCTCCGTCTGCTTACATTTTTTGTTTGTTTTTGGTTTTGGTTTTGACTCTTCCCTGTCCTAGGAACACGAGTCAGAGACCGCATTTAGTGTGAACCAGGATGAAAGCTATCCTCTGAGGGCACCTGGTGTTTAAGGGCAGGATATGTGATTCAGTTTTTGCTGTGGGAGTTCACAGTGCAGGGTTTATTCAAGCTTGTGTGTCAATGCTGGGGAAAGGACAGCACGCCAAAGGCTGCATTTCATCTTTACAAGAAGCTAATGTTGACACACTGTTGGTTCAATAGATTTTCGTTCCTAATTAAAAACAGTACCACTGTTTCTAGTTTCTTCAGCGATTTGGGAGTTGGAGTTTGAATAATTGCGTTATTCTGTCAACTAGATTCATAATTCCTCATTGTTACAGAGGGTTCAGAAGCAGAAAGTCAGATGGCTTAACATTTTTGGTACTCTCCGTTTTCTGGGAGTTTTTGTACCTATAAGCATTAGCCTTCGCTGGCCTCCTGATACCTCATTACCTGTGAGCTACGAAAGCAGTAAACTGAATGCATGTGACCACATTAGTGTCTGTAAATTTGCAATTAGAGTCGGACTTGCCTGAAGTGCTGCTTTTTTTTTTTTACTATTAGAGATTTATTACATCATTTTATCAAAACATGATTCTTTAAAAAGTGTTCAAGGGGCTGGAGAGATGGATCAGTGTTTAAAAGCACTTGCTGCTTTGGCCAAGGACTGGAGGTCAGTTGCTAGCTTCTACCACCTTTTCTTTTGTGTGAATGTTTCTCCTTCTTGTGTAACCACGTGCACACCCAGTGCTCAAGGCAGTCAGAAGAGGGCATCAAATCCCCCTGGAACTGGAGTTACAGACAGTTGTGAGGACCTCTGGAAGAGAAGTCAGTGCTCTTAACCACTGAGCCATCTCTCCAGCCCTTGACACTTTTTTAACGTATTGATTTGCTCACAACAGGTGTTCTGAAGATTCTGCTTTAGACCCTCTAATGTAGGTAATCCTGGCTCTAAATGACATCAGAGAAAGGGGTGCAAAGTGTATCACTGCCAAAAAACCATCCCTTTAGAAGTTCTACTTGTGGAGGTGGTTTCTTCTGTTGAACTCCATGCTTGACTTTAATATGAAGAAGAACGTGTAGCATTAAAGTAAGGGAAGTTGAGGATACAGATGTGGGGACAGTCCTCACTCACATGGATGAAGGCTGTAGGTACACTATGGAGTTATGGAGTCAAAGGGGTAGATATGTTGGGATTATAGTGAGAGAAACTGTGAAATTATTTCTTGTGCTCTGAAGGCTAAATATCTCAGGAAGGTTATATATTAATAATAGGTGGAATGAAGAAAAGAGTTTCTCCTTTTTTCTTTACTTTCATTTGTCAATACAAATAATGGAAACATCATAATCCAAGCTTCACTTCTGTCTTATTTAGGATTTCTATTGCTGTGAAGAGACATCATGACCACAGCAACTCTTATAAAGGAAAGTATTTAATTGGGGCTGGCTTACAGTTCAGAGGTTTAGTTACATTATTATCATGGCAGGAAGCATGGCAGCAGGCTGACAGACATGATGCTGGAGAAGGAGCTGAGAGTTCTACATCCAGATTGGCAGGCAGCAGGAAGAGAGAATGACACTGGGCTTGGATTGGGCTTCTGAAACCTCAAAGCCTACCACTGGAGACTCACATCCTCCAACAAGGCCACACCTCCTAATAGCACCACTCCCTATGAGTCTTTGGCGGTTATTTTCCCTCAAACCACACCTTTCTGGGATCTTTTCTCTCCTTTTGAGGCAAGGCTTCACTGCATAGCCTCGGCTAGCCTCACACTTCATGGATAGCCCAGGTTGCTCTTGAACAATCTTCCTGCCTCAGCCTCCCGAAGACTAACAGTGCAGCCTTAGCCATCACGCCTGACTCATTTAGAGCTACTGCAACTTGTTCTTTCAGATAATTCTGGACAGTTTAAGTCAAGGGGGAAAATTACAAAAGTCAGTTTTCAAAGTGGTGGAGATCATGGGTTTGCTCTCTTGTGGGCAGTACTCACCTCACCTCTGGTTTGCTTTGGACACTGTTCCTGTCAGCCATGAATGAAGGATAATGAGGGCACAGTTGTTGCTTGTTTTTATAACCTAGATAATTTCACCTGGAAAGAGTTGGTATGTTGGGCATGGCCTATTTACCTTCCAGATTAAAGACAGGATGTGTTCAGTGAAAAGAAAATAGAGTCCAGCCATATTCCTGCCTTTTTCCATTACCCTTTATTGGCTCTGGGTAGTTAGGATTCTTTTACTATTCGTTTCTTGCAGCCAAATGGATTTTCCAATGTTTAAAAAGTGAGAGGAAACAAGACTTTTTCAATCAAGCCCTTCTTTCCTTCAGGGCCGGTTGGGTGACCTTTAAGAAAAGCCCCCAGATGCTCTGGGAGACACTGAGAGTTTAGAAAGAACTGCGTGTGTGTGTGTGTGTGTGTGTGTGTGTGCACGCGTGCGCGTGCGCGCGCGCGCGTGCATGTGCCTCGTGAGTGCATGCATTATGTGTGCACATGGGTGGTAACTGAAATGAAGCCAAGAATCTTCAGTTCTTCTTTCCTGGGTTCTAGCTGATACCTTTATTAGGAAAGTAATGATATTTTCCTACCCCAGATCCCTTCCCTCCGTTGGATACAGCACAGCTGAGGTGGACAGTCCACACTCAAAGACAGGAGGAGCCAGACTTGGTCAGGCTTTGCTCCCCAGTGGTGTAAGATTTGAGGCCAGGTCAAGCCATCTGACTTCTGCTTCTGAGCAAGAGGCGTCGATAATGCCTGTCTTGGGGTAGAAGTCCATCATATGAGAACCCTAGTAAAGAGGCTAGCTCACTTTCAACTCTGGAGTAAGCTACCATTGCTATTGTTCATTTCCTACATCTACTCTATATGGAGCCATTCCATCTTTTAAAACTGCTCCAGAGTAAGGAGTGCTAATAAAGATGTGAGTTTGACCATCTTCATCTTCCTCATCAGCCATCTTTCTCTACACAAAGGTGGAGATATACATACTGTGGCTCACAGCTACACTTTTAAACCTACATCCCAAAAGTAGATTGGGAGTCACCAACAAAGCCAAACAAAACAAAACAAACTTTTTTTTTCAATGACAGTGACAGGAAAGTAAAACATCAATAAGTTATTTTAATGAGGAAAAATAAAAACAAAGCTTAGTCTCGTGTTTTAATCCAAAGATACTCAAGACTAGTTTTCCCTCTGCCCATCCCACCTAACTGCAACTTTATTTGCTAAGACCCATTTTAAAGATTTAAGAGAAAAAAGTTTAAACCTTTAAAAAAAGATTAGGCCACCAGGCTAGCAAATAAGTACCCTAGAGATACTTTTCTCATATCAAACAAACTAGTATCTCATTACAGTGTTATAGTGTAACTCTACAGAATAGATACAAGACACAGATGTTTGCAAAGCAAACGCTAGTTTCAGAAAGATTATAAAACCACAATATTTACTTTGTTTACAGTAACTCTAAAAATGATTGTAAGGTTGAAATGGTAACTTTAAGGTGGACC